AAACCTTTTTTGTGTATTTTTGTGTATTAATATGCTTTCATTGTTTTTTTTTTTTTTAGAGGCAGAGTCTGACTTTGTCGCCCTCGGTAGAGTGCCATGGCATCACACAGCTCACAGCAACCTCCAGCTCTTTGGCTTAGGTGATTCTTTTGCCTCAGCTTCCCAAGTAGTTGGGACTACAGGCGCCCACCACAAAGACTGGCCATTTTTTTCATTGCAGTTTGGCTGGGGTGGGTTCGGACCCACCACCCTTGGTATATGGGGCCAGCGCCCCAGGCGCCACCCCTTAACATGCTTTCATTTTGCAAATGAAAAAACTGTGGCACAGAAAAGTTACTTGACTTATAAAATAAGTCAAACACAGACCTAAATGAGGTAGGATAGAAACTACCTCATTAAAACATATTAACAGTCATTCAAGACTCTAGTCTTCTGAGTTCCATCTTACAATTAGCATGTCTATTTTCAGAGACTCAGTTTTTCTAAGTTTCTCTATATAATGCCATTTATATTCCCCCTTCTAAAACCCAGGTAGGTAATTACACACCTTGACATTTAGTACAGATATAATCACATGAACAAATATATTTGAAATACTTTGATAAGTAGTGAACACAGAGCTAGCTGTTCATTCAGGAATCATAGTATTTTGAAGGTACATGGAACAATAAATTCCCTTAATGGATACCTTAATAGCAGATAAAATAAGCTTTTAAATTTCTTTCTTATTTTTCTATTTGTGATGACTAAGTCATCCAAAATGTTTTTCTTCAGTTGATTTTTCACTGTCTTAACATGCATTATACGACTGCATTTGTTTCTTTAATTCACAAGATATATTTATTTGCCTGCAGAAAAATTCACAGAAAGGCTGGATAGCTTGGCTTTGTTTTTTAACTGCTCCTGCTATAGTCAAAAATCTTTCTTGGGGCGGTACCTGTGGCTCAAAGAAATAGGGTGCCAGTGGGTTCAAACCCAGCCCCAGCCAAAAACTGAAAAAAAAAAGAAAAGAAAAGTCTTTCTTGGACCAGAAATAGATGCATCTTTCCTAAGTGAAAAATTATAAGAATTTGTAATTGGCTTACAAGAATGTACCTATCTGCAGGTTCACCCAACAGATGGGCGCCTGACATCCCAAAGGCATGTTCTTACTCTCCAGTCTGGTATTGTGTTATCAAAAGCTAATTGTTTGTCAAGGCCTTGCTAAATGTCATTATTCTAGTCCTTTGTATATATTAACTCTTTTAATTTTCATTATTACAGCCCTGTGAGTTACACATAAACTGTGGAAATGGCCCTGTGGTTAAGTAACCTACCCAAGACCACCCAGCTAGTCATATGGAGCTCTTAGACAGCGTTTCTCAAACTTTAACGTACAAGATTCCACTGGGTTCTGCTGCCTTGTCCACAAGGTGGTATCACCTCCTGTGACTCTATTTATCCCTCAGTTTCTGGAGAAGGTCTCAATTTTTTATCTTCAATATTACCAAGTTGAATTTTTAATTTTAATAAAAACCAGTTATGGAAACAAAGGCTATTTTCTATCCCATTTGTCATGATAAACTGTTTTCCTGGTCGCCCAGGTGGTGGGAAGACGTTCTGCTGGTGTGTGTACGTCCACTGAACTGAGTTTTCAGATGTTCATGTCAGAAAAGGTCTCAGTGCATTTGGATCAGGGCAAGTGAGTACAGTAATCTAAAAGAACATGCTACTGCCCCTCCTGGCCGTTAACAACCACCTCAGACAGCGGTAAATTTGCTTAAAGATAAACAGATTATGATGCAAGAGTCTTCCTAACACCCTAACACCCTTGAGAATTCCCTAATTCCTCCTCTTATCTTTGTTTAAACTGGAAACATTCTTTAGTTTCACTTACTAAAACAGTTGTAAACTGGAGAGCATATTGAAACTAGGTATTTCCTAAGTTACCTGCTTTAAGGTGAGCCTTCAAAGTAGCTTGACAGTCACCTTAGAAGTATAACAACATTTTGTAACATCTTTATAGACACATAAAACCAAGAATCAGGAGGAAATTCACGAGTGGCACAGCCAAAGAAAGTGTGTGTGAACATGTACACATTGGGGCTGCTGCTTGTGTCCACAGCTACGTCCTTGCAAAATACTAAGAGCGCTGATACAGAACAGGTGGCCCCCCAGCCAGCTCAGTCCAGCTGGGCTGGAGGACCTGCTACCTCTGTCCTGGAGGTGTTGGTGCAGCGGCAGCTGGCAGCCAAACCAGCGGGCTGGAGCATAGGCAAGGGGGGGAACCTCCCTCCCCCACTGGTGGCTCCAGTAGTCAAAGGGACCGGACAACTGCTGGGGAGACATCGGCGCCTTGGTGTCTCCTTGCCTTTACACTTATGACTAAATACGGAACCCCCCATTTCCTATCCCTAGATCAATTTCATTTAAGTTTCCTAGGCCTCAATTCCCTGAATGGGCTGTGTCCATTCATTAATACATTCATTCACCTTGCCCCAGGGGAAGAGACTGTGTCCATTCATTTCCTGGCCTCATACAGAAGGAACCAATGCATATATATATATATATAGAGAGAGAGAGAGAGAGAGAGAGAGATGGGAGAGAGGAGAGAGAGAAACAGAGAGAGCTTTTCTCTCCCAACTTGGTTTTTCTCTCCCTACTGGGAACTTTAGTATTTTTGTATTCTTTTCTGTAAATAAATTCTGTCTTACCACTGATCTGTGGTCTGCGGATTTATTCTTCAAATCACCCAGACCAAGAACCTAAAACTCCAGTATCAGTGTTATGTCATTCTCATTTAAAAACTGCAGACCTTGAATTAAACAAAGCATTTTATTCAGAAATATCATTTATATTACATTTATTATATAGATTTGCCCTACTCACTCCAGGGAGAGATGACCGCAATGTTTATCACTATATGTACCTCTTACCAGAAGAACAAAACTTGGTGTAAACTCAGGCATGCGGTTTAACCAGCTAAAAAAAATGTGTAGTCTACAAAGAAGATCATATTCCTGGTAGGTGAGGCACTGTGTGTTAAAGACGTAAGTGGATTGTCTGTAGTGGCCAGGAAGTGCGGCGCTGGGTCT